AGTGACGCAGGGACAGTTTTGAGCGCATAAACACATCCTGCTCAGAACCATCCAAGTAGGGATGGAAGTTTCCACAGCTCCAGAAATAGCTTTGGATCCCGGCACAGGCATTTCCAAGAACAGAGGCTTCGCCTTTCAAGAATTCTGTGAAAGTAGATGATCCTCTGGCTTTGTGTACCCCAAAAATAGAGTCCCCTGAGCCTGGTGCTGGTGGCTCACGCCTGTCATCCCAGCTACTCAGGAGGCTGAGATCGGAGGATCACTGTTCGAAGCCAGCCCTGGCAGGAAAGCCCATGAGACTCTACTCCTCAATGAACCACCAGAAACTCAGAAGTGATGCTGTGGCTCAAAGTGGTAGAGCACTTGCCTTGAGCAAAAGAGCTCAGGGACAGCGCCCAGGCCCTGAGTTCAAGCCCCAAGACCCAGGTGTCAGAGTCCTGTTCAAAATGGCAGTGGAGAGAGACAGAGCAAGCCTGGAAGGGGTCTGGGATGACGGAATCACTGAAGTCAGCCCTGGGCTCCCTGCTTTGGGAGGTGGCAGCATTTCCAGGCCCCACCCTTAGAGGTGGGTGTTTTACCTTGCACTAGCGCCCCCTGCTGGTGGTGCATTCCCCCTTGGTCTGCATCACTAAGTCCTGACACGGAGGCCTTGGCTGGGGGGGGGGGGGGGTGGGAACCAGGGCTAACTGGGGTATAGCAGCCAAGCACCCTCCCTCTCTCATGCACAAGTCCTGCCTCTTCCAGGCCAAGAAGTTCCCAGAAATCACCGAGGCAGAGCTCAGAGTCCAGGCGTCACAGGAGCGGCCGGAAGAGCTGGTGTTACTCTGATCTTGCATGGCAAGCACGGGAAAACGAGTTTCATAGACACACGGGAAGGAAGGCCACGGCTGGGGCCTGGATTATCCACGCGATCCAGCTTCCACTGAGCCGTTCTTGTTCGCCTCCAGCCCGAGGCCACGGGCTAAACTTTCTTCTGAGATCAAGTCTTCCCAGAGAAATGTGAATGTTTGTTTTAAATTGTTCCCCCCTGGAAAATAATTAAAGTCACAGAACCCCATAAATGATTCAACAGCAGGTGGTGTTCATGGAAAACCTTCCTCTGGCAAGTCTGCAGCTATTCTTCTATTCACATATGATGAAGCACACGATTTTATTTGTTGGTTGGTGGTGATGGTGGGGCTTGAACTCAGGGCCTGGGTGCTGTCCTTGAACTCTTTTGCTCTCTACCACTTTGAGCCATGCACCACTTCTGGTTTTCTAGTGGTTCATTGGAGAACAGACTCTCATTGACTTTCCTGCGTGGGCTGGCTTTGAACCATGATCCTCAGCTCTCAGCCTCCTGAGGAGCTAGGATGACAGGCGTGAGCCACCAGTGCCCAGCCCATGATCTTTTCTCTGGGTGTTAGTGGGATTTGATCTCAGTGTCTCAGGCCTACTAGGCTGAGTCACATGAGCCATATCGCCAGCTTCACTTTCTTTTCTGTTTATTTATTTGCTTATTTACTAGTACTGGTTCTGGGGCTTGAACTCAGAGTCTGGACACTGTCCCTGAGTTCCTTTTGCTCAGGGCTAGCACTCTGCCACTTGAGCCACAGCTCCATTTCCAGCTTTTTGGATAGTTTAGTGGAGATTAAGTCTCATAGACTTTCTTGCCCTGGCTGGATGTGAACTATGATCCTCAGATCTCAGTCTCCTGAGTAGCTAGGATGACAGGCGTGAGCCACTGGTACCTGGTCATGCCTTTTTTTTTAAAATTTATTTATATTGTTTCCTTGAGCCAGAGTTCATAATGGAGAATAGAAAAGAAGAAGGCTCTGGGAGAAACAGGGCCTGGCTTTTCTGGAGAGTGATTATTTTTTTTTTTAAATAATGGAATCTAGAAAGGAAGGGGGGTAGAGAAAGAGAAGGTGGGAGGGAACTGTACAAGATCTTCAGTCACAGAGGCTGGAAGGTGGGGGGCTTCTGGCCGGGGGGGGGGGTCAAGGGAGGGGAGCTGACTGCCGCCAGCGCTGGAGAGCACCTGGGGCCTGGCTTTCTTATCCTCAGAGGCCCCATTCCCTGTCCTCAGGGCGAGAGAGCGTTCAATCACCCGGTGCCATATTAAGAGCGCAGCTGCCGCCCCGACCTGTTGGCACAGCGTTAACCTGTTAGACAAACGCCCGTGGCGTCTTCACAGTCTGCCGTGTTCTCACCTGTCCCCCTCCGCCCCCCCACTTGCTAGAACACCCCTGATTTAAAGAAAATTCCTGAGACTCAGGGACGGGCCTGGCTGCGCGCTTCTTCCCGATGGGATTCGGGTTCCTGGGTCGTCGGCTTGGGCCAAGGCCTAGGGGCCCAAGGACAATTCTTTGGGGGACGGGGAGGCTAGTTGCGTACTGGACCTGGGGATACGTCTTGCGGGTTCCTGGGGTGCGCTCCGAAGCCGGGGCGCCTGGTGGAACCGCAGAGCACCGGGCGGCGCCCCGTCCAGCAGGAGGCGCGCATGGGCCGAGGCTGAGCCCAGCACCTGCCGGGAAGCGGGGCGCGATCCGGAGGATTCCAGCCCTGCCGTCCTGGGGACCCCTCCGCGACGCTGTGGTTAATCCACACAGGGCAGCGTCGGGAGGGGGGTCCGGGGGGGTCTTCGCCCCCGGGGCCCCCGGGCCTCCCCGCTATGAACGTTACCAGCGCCCGGGCGCGCGCTGGGCGCACCGAGAGGGCGCTTGGCGTCGGGCCGGCGAGCAACAGCCGGACCCCGGCGCGCAGCCCAGCCCAGGCCCTCACTGGGGGGGCAGGGGATGGGGGGGTGTCTGCTCCCCGCCTGAAGTGCAGGATCGCGGGGGGAACAGAAGCGATGGCTGGAGAACGGGCGGCAGCGCCGCACCCCGCCCGAGCCGGACCCGCACCCGCTCTCCAGGGCGCGCGGCCCGGCGGGGCGGGCGAGGGGCTCTCCACGCGCCGTCTGCGTCCTTGGCAGGAAGGGGAAGGAAAAAGAGGGGGTGGGGGTCTCCCCGAGCCGAGCCTCCAACTCGTCTTGGGCCTCGCTTTCCTTCCACCTGGTCCTTCTGGCCTCCTCTCCAAGAACTAGAGCCCGGCGGGAGGGTCTCTTGGCAAGGGCCCGCGCCCCTCCCTGCCCTCCAGCTTGGCCTCTGGGGCTCCCCACACTCGCCCCGATCTTCCTGGGGGTCCCGGCCCATCCCCTCGAGCAGCGCCCTGAGCCCCCCGCGCCCGGCCCGGGTCGGGGACGGGAACCAGGCCCAGGCTCGTGGGGGCACGGAAGAAGCCCCCCATCGGGGACACGACAGGGCTGCCATCCCGGTCGCTGGCTGTGCCATCTGCGGCGCCCCCCAATCAGCCGTGGGGACCCCACCCCCAGGCCTGAAGTTCTGGGTTCGAATCCGGAGTGACGGAGAGGGAGAGGGGGACCCCCTCCCTGCGCCCCCAGCGGGCTCCCGGCTCTTCGTATTTGATTTACAGAACCCGGGCGTGGGGTGGGG